GAACTCGCAGTTGTTGGTCTTGAGGGAAAGGATTCTAAGGGATTAAGTACTTAGCATGAACAAAATGAATTTGACATTAGATTCAAGGCATCTTGTTTGCAAATAAGAGATCACATTTTAATGTAAGGTTCAAGATTTACAAGAGTAAACATTTTAATAATTGCAAATATCAAAGAATATCAAAATTAGTTTATCTAATGGATGGAAGCATTTTGTAACTGGGTAAATACAAATCCTTCTTAATCTTTAACATTTGTTGTCTTAAAATATGTCAATATTTATTATTCCCCAAGTTGTATTTGCTGCATTTTGGTGTAAATGGGGCATTCGAAATAATGGAAATTGCCACCCCGTTGTTCAGGAATTTAGGTCACCGCCGAAGAGTATGCTTTAATTTATTTCAACAATTGATTGCCGCATCTGCTTGAAACACTCTCTCAGCCCCACACACGCACACACACGCACACACAGACACACACACACATGTGATTGTGACGCAAAAGCCGAGTCATTGACATAAATAACAAGCGGTTGGGTTTGCGGCGGGGCTCGCATCTGTCATCGAGAACGCATAGTTAGATTTCTGTTAGCTTTTCCGGTTTGGCTTTTGCGTGGGAAAAGCCACCCGCAAAGTGCAGCCCTTGGGGCCCGCTTACGTGGGCGGCTGCTGACATATGCCGCTAATGGCGGCCACGGACTCCTACGCACAGAGAATGTGCCCCTTGGCCAAAAGTGATTCATGCGTTTTGCCACTCGCTTATGCACACTCAAAGACATTGGATAGATTTTCGAGTCTGTCTGTGAGAGAGAGTCAAGGGTTCAGGACTCTGTGCCGCCACAATGATGATGCATGGCGATTGTCCATATGCTTGTGTCCCTCGGCTTATCGCCGCGCATCTTTATGAGTCTCTTTGCAATATTGAAGGGCCACTTGGCATTGGGCATTGGGCATTGGTTGGTTGTGGTTTTGGATATCTCTCATCGACTTGTCGCCCCGTTCATTTGTGCAGGGCAAACATTGCCTCATGATAAATCGCTGATTTTAAGTGGCTGGCGACGTTCTAATGCCTATGGGGCATGTGGCATGCGGTATGCGGCATGTGGGCAATGGGGAATATGCCATTCGACTGGACAGCAGCAACATTTCACATTGCCAAATTTGGCGTACGTTCTGGCGCCACACCACACAGACAGACCGCCAGACCGCAGGACAGACAGACGGACATCGGCAGACACACGCTCCAATTATATACGCACCATATTGGCAAACGGCATTTGCGCCAATATGGACAGGTTAGCGCCTGATAAGGCACGAGCACGCGTCGCCGCTGGCAATCGCTGGCGGCGTCGTCTCTCCAGGCGACCAACACGCGGAAGCACACAAAAGCCCGAGACAAACATACACACACACAGTCGGTGGCCGGGCAGTGGCAGATGTCGAAACATTAAACTCGATTCTGTTGAAGACGACGTGCATCAATCACGAGTTTTGTCCAATTGTCCAGCTGCTCAGTTTGCCTCGTTGCGCATGCGCTGCACGTGCCCCATCGCGGCAGCAACAGCAACTGCCACAGCCACGGCCGCAGCGACTGCGACTGCGACTGCGTGTTGGTGGCTTTACTCAATGGAGCGCCTGCTATTTCAGACTCGCACAAGATTGTATTTCAGTCTAAATCGACGTCGATTTACGAGCTTATTGTGTTTAAGTAGTGCCTGCGCCTGCTTCCAAGAAATGACCATATGTCCAAGCCCCGAGGCGGAGGCAAATGATTGCCCCGTTCAAATTACACACAAAGTTGTGCACAGCCCTAGACAACTTTGACAAGTATTGCAAAGCAAACATGCATAAATTGATTGCGACTGTGTGAGTGTCTGTATGTGTGTGTGTAATTCAAACCCAGCCCAGTCCAACAGCAGAGCTCAGAGCACTAACTGTCGAACCACTTCCTTCCACTTCCGTCTGCAGCCCCAGCGGCAGCCACCCTAGACGCTGTGTCGTCGTCGTCTCAGTTGTCGCAATTGTTTTTGGGTTCGTGCCTGCAAATCTGATGCCACTTGAAACATAAAAAAGCAACAGCAAACACAAGCCACAACATCATAAACATTATTCTGCAATCCAAAAAGGCTAACCAGGCGCAGTTATATCGAAGTGTGCGATCTTTTTAAATGCGTTTCTTTGCACTCAACCATGATCTCAAATAGAGTCTGCTTCTAATTAAAGTTTTGAATTCAAACGAAATATATACTTATACTTATACTTATATATTAAGCTACTCAGCCCCCATATCTTTGAAAATAAACTTGAAATCGATCTGACGGTAACAATTGGAAAAAAACTAAAAACAAGAAATTATTGCCAGATTGATTTAGAGGCCAAGTCATGACCAAAGAGCCAAACCTCGTGGAAATCGGATGAGATTTGACCGAGTTATGAAGGTGAGAAATTATGACCTATGTCTATTTTCATATGAATTTTGACGAAGAAAAATGTTGCCAGATTTAGATGCCAAAATGATCTAGAGGTCAAGCCATGAGCAAAGAGCAAAGAGCCAAACCTTATGGAAATCGGAAGAGATTTGGCCTAGTTATGGGGGAGGGATTTTGACCTATGTCTTTATAGGATATTTGAGGGTACCATTTTCACGTAACGTAAAACCTTATGAAAATCGGATGAGATTTGACCTAGTTATGGGGGTGGGAATTTTGACCATGTCTATATATGACTATAAAGGATATTTGAAGGTACCATCATCACTTGAATTTCGACCAAAAATAATGTTGCCAGATTTAGATGGCAAATTGATTAAGAGGTCAAACCATGAACTAAAAGCAAAACCTTATGAAAATCGGATGAGATTTGGCCTAGTTATGTGGGTGGGAAATTTTGACCTATGTCTATATAGGATATTTGAGGGCACAATTTGCACATGAATTTTGACCAAAAATAATGTTGCCAGATTTATATGGCAAATTGATTAAGAGGTCAAACCATGGGCAAAGAGCCAAACCTCGTGAAAATCGGATGAGATTTGGCCTAGTTATGGGGGTGAGAAATTTTGACCTATGTCTATATATGACTATAAAGGATATTTGAAGGTACCATCATCACTTGAATTTCGACCAAAAATAATGTTGCCAGATTTAGATGGCAAATTGATTAAGAGGTCAAACCATGAACTAAAAGCAAAACCTTATGAAAATCGGATGAGATTTGGCCTAGTTATGGGGGTGGGAAATTTTGACCTATGTCTATATAGGATATTTGAGGGCACAATTTGCACATGAATTTTGACCAAAAATAATGTTGCCAGATTTAGATGGCAAATTGATCTAGAGGTCAAGCCATGGGCAAAGAGCCAAACCTCGTGGAAATCGGATGAGATTTGGCCTAGTTATGGGGGTGGGAAATTTTGACCTATGTCTATATATGACTATATAGGATATTTGAAGGTACCATTATCACTTGAATTTCGACCAAAAATAATGTTGCCTGATTTAGATGCCAAATTGATCTAGAGGTCAAGCCATGAACTAAAACGCAAAACCTTATGAAAATCGGATGAGATTTGGCCTAGTTATGGGGGTGGGAAATTTTGACCAATGTCTATATATGTCTATATAGGATATTTGAAGGTACCATTATCACTTGAATTTTGACCAAAAATAATGTTGCCTGATTTAGATGGCAAATTGATTAAGAGGTCAAACCATTAACTAAAAGCAAAACCTTATGAAAATCGGATGAGATTTGACCGAGTTATGGGGGTGAGAAATTTTGACCTATGTCTATATAGGATATTTGAGGGCACAATTTGCACATGAATTTTGACCAAAAATAATGTTGCCAGATTTAGATGCCAAATTGATCTAGAGGTCAAGCAATGATCAAAGAGCCAAACCTCGTCGAAATCGGATGAGATTTGACCGAGTTATGAGGGTGGGAAGTTTTGACTTATGTGCCAAATTGATTTAGAGGGAGTGGGAAATTTTTAAACAACCATTGGGTATACAGGATATTTGAGGGAATTCTCCAAAATAGAATTGACAACTTGGATTTGGAAGTGTTGCCAATTCCTACAAAAACACAGCATTTAAAATTTTCAGGTTTTTATTTTGTTTCTTGCATTTAAATTTGTATTTGGAGTTTTGTTTTTTGTTTTTTTAAGCATATTTTTGTCAGACATTTACAGATCCAGCCATATTACATTAATTAAACTTGATACATTTATTATAAATATTGGAAAATGGCATTTTTTTTGTTGTAATTTTTGTTGTTTAGTTTGACTTGGAAAGAACATTATAAATATTAACACAGTTAATTTTACTTGATTTTCGTTTTATTGGATATACAAAAATGTGGATTGCAAGTTTTCTTATTGACATAAACGGAATTTTATAAAGTGTAAGGTTCGAGTTAGTAAGATATTGAGAAAGAGAGAGATTAGAGATATTAAAAGGTTAGAGAGAGATAGTTAGGGTTTATTTTTGGGATAATAGCCCATTTTGTTCCTTCTGTAGCTGATTTGCAGTATTATAGTGGGTTTTAAACTAAGCAAAAATACTGTTTGTGCAATTTTCATAAATGTTTAAAGCTTAAATTTTAAGCAAAACTAAAATTTATTTAACTAAAATTACGTATAGTATTTATTCTATATAAATACGCTAATTTATCGTTATCGAGTAGTACATAGAATTTTATTTAAGCGATAATACACACATACAAATACATTTAAAAATTAAACAGATACACAACATACTTTCGAGTAGTACTTAGGCCGGGGCACTAAAAATTTCTTTATAACTTAGTTACTAAAATAAATAAGGCTTAAACAAAATGGCGACAACGAATGCAGATGATGAATGTATGGACAAAGGCAAGCATGAGATGGTTCGCTAACAGAGTATATATAACACCAGAGATTTAACGATGTACGATCTGGGAGGATAATGCTTAGCTTAATACTGGTGCTGTCATGGGTGCGAATGCGCAATTAAACTACTACATACAATCAAATTTCGTATCTGGAACTTTTTTTTTTTTGCTACTATGCCTACCGCAAGGCCCAATGACACTAGTTGAAATTAATCCTGCAACTGAAACTGTTTTCAATTTGAAGACATATTTAGCTGGCGTTAAGCAAAAGCGCTCAGCGAACTTTAAGATTTTATAAAAAGCACTTAAAGCTAGTTGAAAGCTTTCAAGAGCTGTTAAAGCTTTTACTATTTAGATTAAATGCAATGCAATGCGCATAAGTTCAGCCAGTGTCATTGGCGCTTAAAGTAAGCAATGTATTTGCATTAGCCTGTATGAGAGAGTGTATGTGTGTGTGTGTGTATAGGTGCGTGCGTGTGTGTATGAGTAGCAACTAAATTATAATTAAATCCATGCTCAGTGCTTAGTGTATTGGTGGCGGCGTGCGATCCGGCGCACGCGGCCTTAAAAATTTATTGGGTACATGTTTTTTGATGTATTCATTTTCCTGCAGCTCATTCTGCTGGCGTCGCTGCAATTGCAGCTGATGCTGCTGATGCTGCTTGCGGCGTCGCGCCTTAGATGTGCCGCCACCGCCTCCATTGAGAAAACTAGGATCTCCGTACAAGCTGTTGCCCACATAGCTGAGCTCGGTGGCATTGCGACGCCAGCTGGTTGTTGGGCAATTGGTGGCGGCACGCCAATCGGGCAGCTGAACGCCGAGGCGACGGCACTCGTGGGCATACGCCGCAAAGCTGTCGCAGTGGCAGCTGCCCGTGGGGCACTCGCAGACGTCCATGCGGCAGGAGGCGATGTAGTTGTTGGGATTAAGTCTACTATCACAGTTACCAAATACTTCCGAGACGCGCAGTGGCCGGCAGTAGAAGTTGGGCTTACGCTTGTTGCACGTCGGCGGCGCCACAACATTCTCCCTCACTCGCGAGCACGACTTGGGTCCGCCCACCTTCCACGAGTTGGCAAAGTGCCACACCTCGTTGTCGCTATGCGGCCGGCCATCCCTGCCCGTCAGATCGTCCCGTCCGCTGCCATTGTAATTGCCGCACAGTCCGCACAAATGACCCTTGTACTGCGCCGGCACCGACACCTGCAGAAAGTTGTTGCCATCCCACTCGATGCCCAGCCCCAGCTCGGTCCTCAGCATGATGCCGCCCTCCGCCAGACGCTCAATACTCACATTATGACCATGTCCATTGCTGCTGCTGCCGCTGCTGTGGTCCGCATAAGGCAACATGACGCGCGTGCCGTTGATTTTAACCCGCAGCTTCTGGCCGAGATTGATGCGCAACCCGCGCAGCTTAAGTGTGACCGTTTTCGGCCAGGATGAGTGCCGCGTGCCACGCCCATCGTTGGTAAGGCGTATGGAGAAGTTGTGACCATAGCAATCAGCAGCCAGCAAATACTTGCAACTGCCCTGAAAGTTGAAAAGACAATGCGATATTTTAGACAAGGAAGAAGTTCTTGCTCGTGCTCTAGAAAATATGTCGGGTACAAAGATATAGCTTATGTTTTACCATGATTATTATTTGATGCCAGTTTCCTTCGAACTGGAAACGTCAACTGATACTCGTTATGTAGAGGACGTAGCATAGACTGGAACGACGTACCACTACACGAGAATATACTAGACGGGCGTCTAGTATGTGCTCGTGTATTAGTACTTCCCTCCAGTCATGGCTGCGTCCTCTCCGCTCCGATTATAAATTAACTTTATGCGATTTTTGGAATATATATTATATTATTAACTATTTTTTATTTATTATTATTTATTAATTGCTCGAATAATTACACGTCTGACTTCGTCGCTGGTTTAATTTAGAATGACCAAATGGTTTCTTAGAAATTTAATGAGACTTTCGGCCCCGTCATCTGACATTAAAAACAAAGTTACTTTGGTTGTGAATTAATAGAATTGCATTGTACCCGGCATTGTCCGGCTCTGTACTTCTGAATAAAGTTACGAGATATCTAAATCTTTTTAGAAAACACGTGATTCGTAATTGCAATGAGTTTCAGCGAAAACATTTTGTTTTAAGAGACGATACATTTTGAAATTAATGATAATTTCGAAGGCATTTCCTAGCAACATCCTGGCTCTCAGAATTTGAACTTCTTGGACTTTATTCCTAGTTCAATTAGCTGTAATACTTCCAAAAAGCTTCACTCTATTCTGGGCTCTAGGTGCATAGTCTTTATAGTCTTTATCAGGCATAAGAGTCAGAATGTTTGCACTTAGCGGGTGGCCAAGTTGACTGCAGCTGTCGATATCAGAGGCAGCAAATTCAGCTAATGTGAATGGGCCATAAACTTAAGTTGGCTATGCAAATCTAATGGCCATATAAAAGTCTGTGTTAAACGAGTAATTTATTCGATAGTTTTATAAGTACGACGAGCATTGCAATTATATATCAATTGAAATCAAATGGATTATTTATATATGCCCATAAATGTCGATTCGGGTTACGCTTATAATCGTTATACAATAATTATTGTTGTTCTGAAAGTAAAACTTACTTGGAAGCTGAAGAATTTGCCATCGAAGGTCTTGAAGTGAGGATCACCGAAGACTGTGCAAGTGCCGGCAGTTTCCAGGCACTTGGGACAGCATTCGCCGGGCGGTCGCTTCAGCTCCTCGTTGGGTCGACACTTGACCGGCTGGCAGCGCATCTCGGAGCAGCGTATGTTGCCGGCAATGCAGCGACAGCTGCGGCATGGATCCATATTCCAGGTCTCGTTGTTCATGTAGGTAACACCCTGATGGGAGCACTCGCTGCGCACCTCGGCCACAATGCAGCGAGGACAGCAGCCATCGTCCTCCTGAAACTCGGGCGCACACTCCAGTATGGGGCAAGTGGCGCGCTGGCAAATCGAGGTGCCATTCAGGCAGGTGCAATTGGTGCACCTATCCGGCGTAAATTGTGTCTTGTCATAGTACAGATTGTTGTTGAATATACACTTGCCTGCCCAAAAAAATTGAAAGCCTATTCGTGAGCAAAAGCTAACACCACCAAATTCTAGGCTCCGCTTCGACTCACCTTTGACCGCGCGAAACTCGCGCTGGACCGTGCAGCGTGGGCAGCATTCGTTGGGCAGCTGCTTCTGCTTCGATTTGGGGCACTGCAGCGTGGGGCAGGTCTTCTTGGCGCAGCTCAGCTTGTTGCCGCTGCTGCACTGGCAGACCAAGCAGCGATCATCGATCGAGGCGACAACCTCTTGGCCTTCGGCAACGGTCTGGCCATTGATCTTGCAACCTGCAAAGTGTACAACAACAAAAGCAATAACAACACAATTTTCATCAGACAACGGTTTAAAAAGCGTATTATTTCTTCTGCTTCTTTTTGTTTTTTTTTGTGTGTGTTTGTTTTTGGGCGAGAGCCAAGAAAATTTCCACATGTCGAAACGGGTTTCCAAGCGATCTATTTGCATAGGCAGAAGGCCGTGCGTACCAAATATACCCTGCACGCATAAAACTCGGTTTGGCAGGGTATCATAGCAAAGACAAGCGGCTTAGTCTAAAGTCTAAGTGTATATTATTATGTTCCCCAATGTGTCTGTTAGTTTGTCTGTCTAAGAACATGAACCCCAGAGTCTATTAAAGCTAGGAACAGCCAATTTTAGTCGCACTTTCTTGTATGTAAAATAAAGATCCTTTTAATATCACAGCTTGGATTTTGGACATACATACTTACAGACTTCTTTCTAATTATGTATAAAGTATAGTAAAAGATTGGGCAATAAAATACATCAAATTTATATAAGACTTTGTACATATGCCTGTATGCGGCTTTCATTTCTTATTTAAGAAACATTTTTCCAGGGTATTTCTAAGTTTATCACAAAATTTCTTTATTTCTTGCTGCTCTGTCGAACAGTCTAAAAAGTGCTTACAATATCGATATGTAAAGACATTTTTTGAGAAAACTATTTCTTGCAGGGTATCTACAAGTCGCCCACATATATCTCTACTATTTTGCTGCTCTTTTTTTTTCTGAACGCAATGCGACATTGTCGACTTAATAGACAATTTAAAGCCCATAAATAAGCAAATCGTGCATAGTCACACAAAAAAAACGTTGACCATCTGTGCGCAAATCGAATTTTTGGACTATTTTGTTAGACGGTCTGACGAATTAAGTGGCACTATTAGTTAGTTTTTGGCTAATTTTAGTGACTGATGCCAAATGAATTGAACCGAACTGAACTGAACTGGTTGAATGGGCTGAACCTGTTGACAGACAGTTGGGGGCCAGCTACTTACCCTGACATGTGGGACAGCATTCGCCGGGGCGTGGCGCTGTCAGCTGATTATCGTCGCACTGTGAATAACAAATCTGTGTTGTTTCGGTGACAACACTGGCGATGCACTTGTACGTCTTGCAGGGTTCATCCGGATCGCTCCACTCAGCGCCGCTCGCATAGGGCACGCCGCGATACATGCAGCCTATTTAATGGCCAAATAGTTAGTTCCACTTTAAATTATGTGTGCACAATGCGTTCCACTTACCTTTGCACTTGCGACAGCAGGTGTCATTCGAATTGGAGTCGATCAAAAAGCAATCATCAATTGACGGGCAGCTCTTGTCACATTTCACAAAGCCATTCTGCAAAACGCAAACACATCATTTTCGTTAGCCACATAAATTAGACGAAGCTGCTGCTCTGAGCCCTCGTTTGCCCCCCCCACCCCTAGTCTCATGTGGCCTATGCGCTTAGCCATGTGAGAGATGGCTGTCAAGTGCTCAGCGGATTTGTTTACCTCTCTGCTCTCTTCCCCGTACCCCTCGCTGTGGCTGCACCTGCAGTTGGCGCAGCTTTTGTTGACTCGCTTTGTCGCTCACACAAATTGCATTTGTTCAAGCAGCTTGCACTCTGACCTTCAGCAGTCTTTTATAATTTATGAATGCAAACGAGTCAAAATTATATGGAATTGAGTGCACATTTTAGGGCGTGGTAAACGGCTCACACCGGTTTATAGCCGACACTTTAGATGCGCTACAAGTGAAGTTTCTTTTGGGATGGGTATGTTTAGGACAAAGAATTATGGAATATTATGGAAAAGCTAAATAACTGAGTAGGACTAATAGAGAAAAAGTTTAAGGTACATAGAAAACAACAGGGGAGTGTTAAAAGACTGCGTAGAACTCATGCTCAGGATATATATGCGAGCATGAAAGAACCGCGAGTTTGTTATTGAAATGAATCTAAACTATGAATATGTAGAAGAAGTTGAGTATCAGAGAAGGGAAGCAAATGAAGGACTTGATGAAAGAACAGAAGAGTCTCAGACATAAGCAAAATCATGGTGTTCAGATGGATTGTTGGAAGACTGCAAATAGTTGATAATTATCGTATATATATATACATGCATATATAGTTTTCGGCTTAAGCCAAGTTTGGTTATGCAGTAAACTTATTCAAGATTTTAACATTCATAGAAGCATTTAGACCAGTCCAAGTTGAATGAAAAAAGGATTGCATTGATTGGCAAACGGGCAGCTAGCGGCTTTGTCTGTCCAATTGGCCTAGACTGCAGCAGGTTGTTGTTGTTGTATTTTGTTTTTATGTGCGACTTTTTGCCTCGTGCTCGCATATTTTGCACAATTTTGCACAGTTTTTTGTTAACGACAATGTTGACAGCGGCAAGCGGTGCATTAGAATTGATGTCGATCATAAGTCAAAAGCTTGTGGCAAGGCTCTGGCAGCTTATGCAACACTCTGCCATGGCAAGCGAGCAAGCCAACTGGCTCAAATCAATGGGCGGCTTTAACCCTTGTGCTCGGCTGTCGCATGCATTTGATGCCAGTGACAGGTTAAACATTTTCAGCTCAACTCTAGACTTGAGACGGAGCCGGAGACGAAGACGTCGGAGTCTAGTGCTAGTGTCTGCTCTGTGGCTGAGGCTAATTGTAAATGTATCTATAAATCTAGATAGATGTCGTACCAAAAACAGGCAAAATATTTTACTAATTTGTATGCAGTTGCGGCTGAACAATGTCGCGGCTCAAATCAGAGTGTGTGTGTGTGTGTTTGTGTGTGTGGTGTGTGTTTGGTGTGTGCTTGTGTGTATAATTTAGTGCAAGCAAACCAGATTGGATCTCAATTTGGATGGGGCCGCAACGTCGCAACGTGCAAAATTTGCAATTGTTATGAAAATTGTGTCGAGCGGCGTCGAGTCGAGAGTTGAGAGTCGAGAGGTTTTTTTTTTTTATTTTTTTTTTGCGGTTCCGAGATTTTTATCATCGTATTAGTTTAATGGCAGTTGTTAGTTGGAATTTTAATGGCACCTTTAGTGCGGGCATCGTAACTCTCAGTGCCATAATGCAATAAACACTGACAGATTGAAAAGCACTTCGGCATTATAAAGCAGCAACAACAACAACAACAACAACAGTAGAGGGACAACAAATCCAAAATGTTGACAGCAGCTGGAAATGAAAATGTTAGAGTAAGTTAAGGGGCAGACAAAGTACAAATGCTCTTGAAAAGCTGAGAGATTGAAATGTCTGTGGAGACGACGCGCTCTCTACGCATTTTCAGATGCTGTTTTATGCTTTGAAATTCTTTCTTTCTAATCTGGAACCGGTATAGAAATATTTCAGACAACATGAAAGTTAAGCATCGGCAGAGTCGTTGTTGTTGTTGTAGTTTGATGTTGTCTAGTAGCTGCTTGCAAAGGTTGCTATTAAAAAAAAAAAAAAAAAAGAAAAGGCGCCACGAAGGCAGCCAAGCGTCCCGGACCCGGCAACGGACAAGCTGCTAAGTAGAGGCTGAGATTTTGTTTTCGTTGTTGTTGTTGTTGTGCGCCAGCGGCAATCACGAATGCCAAAGCACATGTGTGTATGCTTCGTGTGTGTGTGTGTGTGTCTATCTATGTGTGCCACAGTGGCAGAACCACATTTGCAAACGGCCTCCAACGACCTTGCGTTTGACAAAACATGATCAGTTTTAACACCGTCCATTCGGCAGCCGCCACGTCTCCATCCCCACATGCCCCCCGCTGCCGCCAGCCACACATCAGCATTCGCATCCAAGTGAGACACACTCAAACCGCTGGCTAGTCGCTTGCTCTTGTTGGCCAGTTGAGCAACTAAACGTTTGCTAGCCAAACTTGGTCTGCTCTAGCCAAAGACTCGGCCTGTAGACGCTCTAGACTCTGTTAACTTGGCTCGCTGCTGCGCCTCATAGAATATGCTAATGACAAACTGTGCTTTTTCTATTTTTTTTTTTTGTATGTTCATATGTGTATTTTGTCACTTGTGGGCTAGTTGAAATCGCCTGGTAGCTAGTTGTTGGGTTTGGCTGGCTACAACTGTGGCTGGAATTTCATTTGGATTAACAGTTGTTGAAATTCCTAAACCCATGTGGGATATCCTGTATGTAGAGCTGTTAAGTTGTTTTCTATTTTTAAACTAAACCAATTAAGTTATTTAAGTAGTTTTTAACTGTGCTTTTTAAAAAGCAGTTTTATAATAATTTATCGCTGTGGGAAACAGATGTTTAAACGCCTCGAATGTCTAGGGTTACTTTTATATGTACATATATTGTGTGTATTTGCTGGAGTGGTAAATATTTATAGTCTATTTATTATTATTTCATTTATTCATTTTTCCCGAATACCTTAACTAGATCATAAACTTTTAACTACTTCCTTAATGCGATTAATATACCAAAGATTTTTATTAATATTAGTATACTTTATGCTTGCTTTTTTAACTGCTCTAACTGAGTCATCACGTTATTAAAATACTCATAAAGAATTGTTTCATACCAAACAAGCTATTTATACGGACCACCTACAACTTTTAAGCCCAGAATGTTTTCAACAAAACAAAAAAATGGAATTTGCAAATATCAATCGTAAAAAATCGCATGCTCAATCAACTGGCAGAATGCTTAGACAAGCTGAAAAAACAAATAATAAAATAAAAAAAATTTAATAAAAAGAAGAACAGAATACGCCTAAATCAAAGGCTATTCGGAAAGCAATGCGTGTATTCAGCATAATTTTCACATAAAAACCAAATTTGTTAACAAATTCAGTTGCGAAAAAAAACACACCCCAAGAGCAGATGAAAAGCAGACAGCGGGCAGACAATTTGTTTGATTGTCCTTGCCCGGGGATGGAAAGACAACACACTGTACTTAATATGCGATATATATTAAGAGATTTAAGATAATAAACGTCAGCCATAAAATATCAGCGAATCACCAAACGCGTTTGCAAATATTACTTACAATGGGACCGAAAAGCGAGTGCGAGCTTTGAATATGAATGTTGTGTACACAAGAGCTGGAGCATGAATAGAAGTAATCATAAAGTGTGTGCTTTACGGCCTAGCCGAATTATAGCCAAGCATTTGCAGGGCAATTCATTGCCCAGCTTTCACGCAGCTTTAAGAGAGCTTTAAGAGGGCTTTAAGAGGGCTTTAAGAGTTGTGCTTAAAGAGCAGGCAACAAAATTAAACAAATGCGTTCAATTGATGCCATCATAAACTTTCAAGGCGCGCGCAGTCGCAGAATGCGAGACAGACAAAGAGAGAGAGAGGGAGAGAGAGTGCTGAGCGCGGCAGTGGGCAAGCGGGACAGGTAGCTCAGTTAGAGCAGGCGCAACGCATGGCGCCATCAGCTTAAAGTGAGGTGGCGCCAACATTTATTTTTTTTCCTTTTTTTTTTTTTTAAATTTTTTTTGGTTACGCCCACTTGACGAACAACAGCAACAACAACAACAACAACAGCAGCAGCAGCCGCAGCATCAGCTCATGACTTGAGGCTATACAACAATCGATCGAGCGCGTCGCAGTCGGCGTCGCGAAAGCTTCTTGGCGCTTAAATTGGAGCAGCGACGTTTAGCAGCGCTTAGCACAAATTAGCAACAGGCATGCCAGCCGCGATCTGGCAACGCCAGCGACGACAGCACGCGCTGCCGCTGCCGCTGCTGTCGCCGCTTAATGACGACACGACACGACGTCTTCGCGGGCAGCGCTTTGTGTTAGTCCCCGTCGGTAGCGGTAGCCGTTGACGGCGACAAAAAACACGGCGCCAAGTGTTTGTCAAACGATCGGCTAACCTGTGGTTAACGTTTGTCATGTCGCTGCAAACCCGTTTGACGACCTTGCATCATAACAATTTCAGGCGAACTCCAAGATGAGGCCTGTATTTTGAAAAAAAAATAAAGCCAACAAAAACAAAGCCAAACAAATGCAAACCAAAGCCAAGGAAGCAGCAAACATTTTATGCCCAGCGAATGCAAACAAATAATTAACGTTGCTTTGCTTCTATTTCAAAGCAGTCTGGCAACCCTCATTAGCGATATTTATTAGCGTTTGACATGTCAAGCGTGCTATAATAGGCTGAGCGCCTTAACTGTTTGGGAATTACACACATCATTTGAAAATCGTTGTCGTTTTGCTGAATTCTCTATTGTGATCGATCATTAATTATATACCTTTAATTATTATTTACGAAAAACTCTACTTTTCTTGTAAAAAGACTTTCGTTTAAGGAATTTTTTCTTTCTTTTACCAAACTATTTCGTTATACTTTCTATTAACAAACTATTTCGTTATAATCCCTTTAAAAATCGTCTGATACGTGCTTGCCGTTTCTCTTGGGCTCTCAAATTTTCCATTATGCGCCAGAGTCAAACTAGTTTTGGGTTTTCAATATTAAATAACATAGCTAGACAAATTACGCATACGCACAGTTATCTTCAACAATTGCAAAGTATGTTCTTATTTATGTGCACAGATGTCCTGTCTGTCCTGCGGCCTGTCTCTCCGAACATTCTTTTGGCATTGCAATTTTAGTTTGCTGGCGCAATTTGTTGTCTGTCGAATGTAAATATTTGAAATATTTTTTTTTGGGCGTTTGGGGATTACGACTACAGTTTGCCGGGGCCGGCGTCTGGCAGGCGTTTGCGAAATGTGCGACACATGGCCACATCCACATTGCATCCGTTCCGCACATGTCCTGGCTGGACACTGGCGTCGCTCATGCAGCGCACCAGACAGCGACAGGCCCCGCATAAGATTTATTTAGTATTTGTATTTTATTTCATAGATTGCTCGGTCTAAGTTTTATCCGGGTCAAAGGCTGTCCAGTGTTGGCTGGCGCAGCTCTTTGGAGCCGCCTGCCTGCTGAGCAGCAGCAAATGAAATCTCTCAAAATGAGGAAACTACTTAGTTGGTAGCAAGATCTCCTTTTGGACTCACCTGGCATGTGCACTTGAAGCATTTGGAGTTTTGTATGCCTTTGATTTGCACCTCTTCACCTTCATTGGCGCAGGATTCCATATCACCTGTAAGCAAGAAAGAAGCAGAACATATTGTTATTGGTTGCAATTCGTTTTGAGTTGTTGTTCGAGCTGCTGTTCAAAAATTCCCAAAACAAACTTGTCGGCCATAAATTCTTGGAATAGTCTCTCGACAACAGCGATTTCCTGTTTTTTAGTACTGACGTTTTTCAAATAAACCAAATAACAAATAACCAAATATTTAATTTACAATCATGCATAGCCGGAAATTGCCCACTGACTGAGATGTTATCCAGCACGTGACCCGCAGCGCTCTTCCAACCAAAAACCAAACAGGTCAAAGAGATTAGGCCACTTTATCAGTATTCTGTGTGCTTGTGTGTGTGTGCGTGCAACCAAACATGCCCTGCCAGATGATGATCATATAGCAACACACCTCCTTCTACCTCGCCTGCTGCTTCTCTCCTCCCTCAACTCCTTGGGCTGCCTGCATTTTGGGTTACTCTTTGTTTGGTTTACCTTTTTCTCTTCTGGCACCGGCGCTAAGTCAAAGTAGCAAGCGCCGCATGTTAAACATGTTCCAGAACACAGCACAGCACAAAAAGAACAATCAAAAGAGCTGTTCGAAAAACGACTCGACTCAGAAATACCCTGTACTGAAATTATTTTTTAAGTGTATTATCAACCTAAGTTTGTATAAAGCATGCTAGCTATATGCATAGGAACACAGTATTTGTTGGGTTGGGTTTAGACAGCAGATTCTTTCCTTTACATAGAACACATAGATCTTCCAAATGTTATTTTAAAAATTTAAAAGGCAATATTTGAAATGTATCTAAACCAACAGAAATCTAAGTTCGCTCTCATCATACCCTATTTGGCCAAATCACTGTTTACAGGGTATTACAAAGTAACGATTCGAAACGATACAAAAATGAAACGCAACAAGGCAAACGGAAACGTCGGCACAGCGACCCCAGGCTGACTTGCAGGGCCCGTACCACTGCCCGGGGCTGGCTTTGTGGGACCACCTGCAATGTGCTGATAAACACACACACACACACACACACACACACACACACACACACATGCAACATGGACTTAGTGTGTTCGTTGATAAATGAAGACGCCGGCGCTACACACACAGATGCACAAAGAACATAAAAACACACACAAACAAGAGTTACAGATACAAAGATACAGATACAATTGCAGATGCAGCAGCTTCAGGGCTGCGACTGCCCGCTCTGTGGGCGGCTCTGCTCGGTTTTAGGCCCTACGCGACATTATCAACGTTTTGTATCTCTTTGGTATTTAGCTTCTACATGGAGTGCTTTTTATTGTTGTAGCTGTTGTGGCCTTTGTTGTTCGATTCGTTTTCCTGTTATGCGTTTGTATCCTGCTGTGCCCTTTTTGGGACCACCTTCATTCATAAACATATCCATTGGCGCTCTAATGAAGTGGAAAAGTTATTTAGTTCCTATTGGAACTTTCTATATGTATACACGGTTTATTCCCTTCTCTTTTGGCTGCCCATCTAGCGGGCGACAGTTAATGAACCTTGTTCAAGTAACCCGATATCGAAATTGCAATACGTATATCTAATTTATGCGATTTTTTATTTCATTTAACACACACTGAAATGCCATAAAAAACCCACTCAATATGTTTAAAGAACACGACAAAAATTAGATAAATAAAAAATAGAAAATAAAACTAAAAACTGGCAGCGATCAAATACGCTCAGTAGCCGAACAGCCGGACAGCTGGCGACGCCGGACGCTGGCGTCGTCTGATTAATCACAATCACAGATTAAGCGCCAGCGCGACGTGTTGGGAGCGCCAGAGCGGCACGTGTGGCCAACAGCTAAGGTGAACAGGGGCAGGGGCATGGGCATGGGCAGCGGCAGGCGGTAACGGGCAGCCTATACGCCCGACTGTACGTACGTACGTACGGCAACAAGAGCCCGTAACAGAGCAGCTGTGGCTGCTGTGTAAAGGTGAAGGTTAACGAGTTGCAGGGTGAAACTGTCAAAACAGAAACTCTACTGGAGCGTCAGGTGACTCGCTTGACAATCTTAATTGATTTCCATTCTATGGAAATGATCTTGAAACTGAAAACTAGATTAACTATGTATGTGCTGCGATCTGTCAAAGAAAACTAAAAACTAGTTACATTAAATGTCACTAAATTAACGATCCAATTCTTTGGTCTGTTCCGAATGTTGGTTAGTTGACTAAGACTTGAAACTTCAGTAACTACTGCAAATTCTTTTTAATCAGAAAGATTCTACTGCTTCTCACTGTGATATTTAATGCCTCTTAGAATGGAAGTTTGGGCATAGGCTTCGAATTTTAGGCATAGGCTTAGAATACAGGCAGCGACTCTTTATCATGCTCTTAGTTAATTAAAATGTAATTGCTGTCTATTTGAGACTGAGGCGACTCACTTAGCTAGCTTATTTTCTGAGAACTGCATTATTAAGCTAAATACTGGTAGACATTCGAAAAATGCAGCTATTGACAAAAAGCAAAGCCTTGCCTAGTTCAATGATTTATTTGTAATCTTGCTGTCTGTCTATAGTGCAATTAATAATATAATTAGTTTATACAATACTTATATCATTTGAATGTTTAATGATAAAATGAATATTTGGAAATATTAATTCTGTGTAGCACTTAATATGCATACTACCAATCCATGTTTAAATATAAATTTGGACAGCAAACAAACTCCAATAGGCTTTCCCTCTGCTTGTATTAAAATAATGACCTAGCTCAAGTAATTAAGTTATCTACTTATCGGCTTTTCGCAAACTAAAGTCAGTTAAGTATTTTTCAAAATTAACATACAAGAAAAACAATTATTTTAGAATAAATCCCTCAAAAGCAGCTACATATATGTATAGATGTATATCTGCCAACCCAGGCAAGTGAAGTATTCTGCCTAATTTGTCGATGTACTCAAGGCAGGATTTTCTTCATAATTTCAGTACATATTACAAAGATATCGTAGGTAAAACGACTCACCTGAAAGGCCTTCTCGAAGTCCAGCTGCCACAGATTCCATTTGAATCAGGACTAACATAACAATAAAGACGAGGATACGAATTCTGCCTAGAATATGTTGTTGGCTCTTGTTGTTAATTCTGTGGCTCTTTGCTTGTTGTTGTTGCAGTTGTTGCTGGCCAATTGAAGACGTACAACATTTCCACATGGCGTTAGATTTGCAACACATTTTCGCAATTTGTTGGCGCAAGTTCACAGAAATATGCATCAGTTTTTATTACTAGAAAAAGATTTTCGTTGTATTCCTGGTAGCAGTTGTTGTTGTTGTTGTTGTTGTTGTGGGGTTTCTGCTGCTCTTGAAATATTGCTGAAAATATAGTGTTAAAAAAAGATCAAGCCGGTCAGTTTAAAAATATACAGAGAAGGCGCCAAGATAGAACTGAAAATAGAAACTTTTTTTTTTGGTTTTGGTTTTGTTTAGAAATTGTTGCCCGTGCAGGTGTTTCATACAACTTGTGGACTTTGTTATTGTGTTTGTTGCTGTTGTTTTGGTTTTCAAAAATTGTGAGATAAATTTGCTCGGGATAAATTAATGCAAGCTGGTCGTCAGTCAGTCAGTGAGACGGTTCTGATCCGGCCAAATGATTTGCACTTGCCGCCTAAGGTCTAAACAGAAACCATTTGCTGCTAACTGATTTGTTGTTGGTTTTTCGAGGTTTTCGTTTTTCGAATTTTATGATGCCTATCAAGATGAGGCCAGGCCAGCCCAGGCCAGGCCAGCACAGGCCCGTCCAGGCCAGGGGCACACATTTCACTTACTACACAAAATTCTGCGAATCATCTTTGGCCTGGTCAACATCCATCGATTTTGCACGTACGCCCGAAAGGTAAACTCCATTGGCCATTGGCCATTTGTCTAAAATCTCTCTCTTTCAATTTGTCTTTATGGCGGCTCATAGGTGTTAGACAACTCGGACATTATTAGTTGCGATTTATGAGCAAGTGTGCGTGTCTGACTCTCTCTGTGTGTGTGTGTGTGAGAGTGTGTGTGTGTGGTACAGGTAACGCCAGCTGACAGATATGTGTGGTGTTCTTTGTTGTACGCCGGGTCATAAAAATGTTAATGATTTTTGCGTCTGGCGCCAGGCAATATTGTAATGCTTGTTTGACTTATAATTAATTTCATTTTTGTTGCTCTCCGCATAATTTTTATTATTTTTATTTGACTTGAGCAGCACCAAATCAAAAACAAACACAAAATCCACGTCAAATTTTTGGCCAAGTTTATTGATTATTTCGCTTCAAAGTGGCGCCAACATTTGCCGCTCTTAACACGAAAGCGGATGCTAAAATAGAACTTGAACTCGATCTCAATCAACGATGAATCAGTCACAAATCACCCAATAAACTATACATTTCGATTTATTTAAACAAAGTTGCTCTTTCTTCGGTTCAACTATTATAAACTAGCGCTAGTTATCGCTTTGTATCGTGTTGAAAAGCCCATCGATGAATCAGTCTACATCCTACTCGTATGCCTTACATATATACTCTCTCTCTCTCTCTCTCTCTCTCTCTCTTTGTCTCTCTGTGTGATCTATCATGACGCACCCTACTGCTGGCTGCATTGTCATGCTCCGAACTGGGAGATTGTCATGCCAAAAGCGGTGCTTGACCTAACAATGTTATAACAGACACCCAATTAAAAAATTGTCACACAAACTGATAAGACTCTATATGCCATAGAATGAACATATAGACATATGTATATGTATATATATATATACATGTGTTTGTATATGTTAATTTCTGCAGTTGATAAGATTCACAGCGACGACAACACACCTCGCAGAACACACACACAGAATGGAACGGAACCTCATTTGAGCTGCTGGAAACAACGTTGTTCGGGTGTCTGTTGCTGTTGTTCCCATTGCTGATTAGCTGCAATTTGTCACTGCATTGCTGTTGACAAGGACAATGCACATTTATTTTCTATATATATATAGAACTATATATATGCAGCTATTTTTATAGAACTCTTTGTATACTGTGCCCCATTCTGAACGTTCAATGGGGTATATATAAGAAGGACAAAGCATGCGATGGTCTGGTTAAGGTCGTATTTAATCTGTCTAGCTTTTACTATGTATCAAAAATTTTCCATTTACCATAAAGCCTACAAATATAATTTCGCTTTTATTGAGACATTTTTAAAATCATATTTACTTAATCTTTATATGTAATGGGCCTTTTCGGCTTCCATTAATATACTTCATTTATATGGAATCTTACTAAAACATATCATCATCTACATTTAAATATTTAAACATATGCTATTATTATAAGCCAAACTTGTGTAAAATAATATTTGAGTGCTACAATATTATCATTATTAATACAGTTGTCAATTTGTCAGATAAATATTTAATAAAAGTTTTAAAGTTTTACTTTAATATTGCTGCCCAAAACAATTTTAATATAGCTCCTAAATTCAAAAAGATTTACGTTTCATAATCTATTAGCAGAACCCATATCCAAATGTTGAAGCATATTACAAGCAACATTTGTGCATGAAATCCATTATTCATCAGAGATTTCTATTATAAAAATAATTTGTAGGAACCAAAGTGGTTAAATAATTGATAAATTCTTTAATAATTTCCACTTATTGCGTATCAAACGAATTAGAAGGCCATTGTTAAGTAAACAAATTATTGTAACAAGATGAACTCTAGACATCAAAAGTCAAGCCAATCCTAAAAAATACACTCAAAACTACGCATTTTTTTTGGTCTTTGGGTTTTTTTTTGGTGCTCTTTGTACTTGGGAACTTCAGCACACACGAGCTGGCAGCTGAAGTGGCGAAACCCAACAAAATAGCGATAGTTTTGTCTCGTATCTTAACCAGAACTTCAATGAGAACCTTGTGCTTGGTGCTTATCGTGTTGCCCCCCAAAAAAAAAAAGATGAAAAAAATATGTGGAAAATATTTGAAACTGAGGTTGATGTGCGCTCGAGAGCACTTGTCATGGCATGAGCCGGTTTATAAATAGATATAAAGCTGGCAACTGGATAAAAATTAGCGAGGCTTTTTAATTTAAGACAAGTTACTATAAACGCTTTGATTTAATTGACCGCCCAGCGGCCAATTGCATGACGACGCGTCGCTCGAGTCGTGCCAATTAATTGCAAGGGCCAGCGGAGACATCGGGCCGTGGCGGGGTGGCCACTGATTATGGGGTTTCGGTTACAGTTTGCAACCGAGCAGGGGTGGGAGGAATTCTAATGCCGTCGAGCTGGCGTCAAGCTGGCGTCAATCTGGCAATTAAGGTAAGCGACTCGCGGCCTGTCCCTTTTGAACAGCTCAAGGGGGCGCAACAAATTGCCCGAGTGCGTTCTGAAACAAAGCAACAACAACAAGAACAAGAGCTGAAAAGGGTTCACGCCGGGCACGCAGGCCTCTGTCTAGACCAGGTCTAACGATGTGCGGTAGGTAGCCGAGTCGTAGGTAGCCCAACTGTGCCCCGGTGTGGCAGAAGGTGCGTGCAGGCTTATCGCACACACTGCAGCTCAACAGAATTCCACTTAAAAACTTGGCCATTAGGCGCGCTGCAACTGTTGCTGCCAATTACGCGATATGTTGTGTTGTCGCTGCCTTTTAGCCTGGTTTTGGGCCTGTTCCTGGGACTGGGCCTGTCGCCGCCTTTAATTCAATTAACTGTGGAATTTTATTCGGATCTTAGCATTGAAGCCCAAGATCAGTCGCAAGCCAGAGGGACAGGGCGCAGATAATAAACAAATGGCGCCAACAACAACAACAACAACTTTGGCAAATCATGCAAATTGCACAACAACAACAAGAAAGAACGCCCAACTTCAGCAGGCCGATGACTAAATACTCTTGTAGACATATGGTTTGGGAGTGAATACTAAGTTTGATAAAGATTGGGAAACAAAAAGAAACTTTCTTTTTGACCAATCAGTTCCTTGGTAGCTATATAAGATAGTCGTCCGATCGGGCCGATTACTGGCTGCAATAGAAAAACTAGTAGCCCTGACTATTTAGACTCGTTATCAGGTATATACCTACTAAGGTTGGCAAATGTTTCCTCCAGTGCGTGACATATTACATGACAAAATCGTAATACCTTTTACAAAGGGTGTATAAAAAGCACAAGACACAATTCGTATCGGGCTAACAACGCGGCCGATCAACGAGTTGGCTCTGCTTGGCAGCTTGGCAACTAATTTCAATAGATTTGCATATTGAAGTCAGTTTGCCACAACAATGAGACGGGTAAAACGCACATTTGTCAACGTTGTTTGGGGCTGAGGGCATGGCCAAAAGCAGCTCCGGGCCCAGAAACATGCAACGTTACGAGTATTTGGTACAATTGAATGCGCCAAGCGGCGTTTAAAACTACGGCAAATGAAGACAACAACGTCGAAGACGTTGACGATTGCCCAAGAAGCAGCAGCAACGACAACAACAGCAACAACAACAACAGCAACAACAACAACAACAAAAGACAACGACAACGACAACAACAACAACAGCAGCAGCTGTAACAGTTAACGAAATTTATGCGCGCAGACCCTATAAATGGGCTCCTCTGCCTGCCCCACACGACAACATTTTGAGCTTGAATGCAGCATAATGCAGTACAGCAACAAAACTGAATTCTGACTGAGAACCTGTCTTTGTTTTTATGGCCGTCACTGTGGCCCATAACCCCGGCCCTATCGCAGCCATAAGCCGTACTCCTTATGCAATTGCTGTTGCAATCTGTGCCACACACACACACACACAGAGAAGCACACACTCGTTCCACAAACACTCACACAATAGCCAACAAGCTTTAAATGTTGGCCAAAATGTGTCAGATTCAATTTACACTTCATAAGTGAGTACTTGGGCATATCTCTAAGATGTCATATTATGCAATATGTAAACACTCAATCAACCAAAAATAATAGTAAATTTTTTAAGCTCAACCAAACTTTAAAACTCTTCAAAAACTCAAGCAGAAAAAATATTAAAAATCGTTCAACTATAAAAAAAATAAAAGCATGTAAACAAAAAATATAATTTTGGTATTTAACATTTTTAAAACCTGAATCCATTCAAAGTGGAAAAAAGGGCAAATGTATTCGTGCAAATGTATGTAACATGTTGAAAGAAGCATCCCCGATCCCATAAAGTATATATATTCTTGATCCGCATCAGTAGCCGAGTCGATCTAGCAATGTTCGTCCGTCCGTCCATCCGTATGTACGAAAACCAGGATGTCCGGACCTATAAGAGCTAGAGCAGTTATGTTTCCGATAATCGATAATCTGGCCGATCGATAAAAGTCGTTATCG